ATCGAAAAGTGGATGTAGCACGGACATGAACCAAAATCGAAAAGTGGATGTAGCATGGACATGAACCAATCGGCTGTTTTATCGGCTCCGAAAGTGGATGTGGCCATATAGTTCCAGGCGGCGTAAAATGGATGTACGTGACGCTAGTGTACGACCTAGAAAAAGCGTTACACGAAAAACGGCAGCGTGGCGACTCTCATTCTTCTCTCTGATCATGTGCATCATGCATGAAACGGAACGCAGCCAAAGTTCGAACAGCTGTTGACATTGGGTCTGTTCATAGACATAGTATATCTAGACCGAGTGTTGAGGAGTGGGAGCCGAGGTGCACGTAGAAAAGGACATACTCTGTTTCGTGCCCCTTGCGTTCTCTCTCGCTCGCACGTAGCATGACGAAAGAGAGCGCTATGCTCTGTGCGAGCGAGAGAGAACGCAAGGGGCACGAAACAGAGTATGTCCTTTTCTACGTGCACTTTGGCCCTCACTCCTCAACACTCGGTCTAGATATACTATGTCTATGGATTGACCACTATAGTATTTAGTACGCATTATGGCCTTCGCACGCTGGACGCAATGAGCAATGAGCGATGGGCGATATCCAATGAGAGCTCTGGTTTGCCGAAAAAATAAAGCTCTCATTGGATATCGCCCATCGTTCATCGCTCATCGCGTCCAGTGTGCGAGGGCCATAATGCGTACTAAATACTATAGTGGCCAATCATAGACATTCTATTTTTTAGGGCCAATTTCACAAAGTCCGATTAGATTAACCGACGGTTAAAATTAGCAGGGTGGCCAACAGAAAATAGAGGTGAAGGAAAACCAAGCATTCTTATCATTTCAGTTGGAATCCTGCTAATTTTAACCGTCGGTTAATCTAACCGAGCTTGGTGAAATTGGCCCTTAAAGGACTGGCTATGATTGACCAGTATAGTATTTAGTACGTATTATGGCCTCACACACTGGACGCGATTGGCCCTCGCATACTGGACGCGATGAACGATGGCTTCTGGGGGCCTATTACGTTTCTTGAAACAAGGTGAAAATTACAAAATTGAACAGATTTACTAGATTTTGACAAATGAAATTGTAGATACTCTAGTGAATTTCCTCACTTTTGTAATTTTCACTTCGTTTCAAAAACCGTAATAGGCCCCTTGCACACAGGACGCGGAAACGCTTAGTGTCGGTCTACAATAGTGATTTAAGCTCTAAGCCTTAAGAAATTGACCAATCACGATCAAGTATGAGGAGAATACTCGACTGTGATTAGTCAATTTCTTAAGGCTTAGAGCTTAAATCACTATTGTAGACCGGCACTTACCGCGCGGCAAAAGACGACGCGGTAGCCAATCAATGTTTCGCTCTAATGGAAAAGTTGTAAGTTGATTGGCTACCGTGTTGCCTTTCGCCGCGCGGCAAGCGTTTCCGCGTCCTGTGTGCAGAAGCCAATAGAGTTCACGTGAAACTTTTTACTTTTCACGTTTCCTCCCTAGAGAAAAAGTACAAGTGATTGACCCCCAGGATACCGAGCATGTAACTTTTTCCCTAGGGCGGAAACGTGAAAAATATTAGCATTAAAATCAAAATTTTTCACTTTTCACTTTTCCCTAAGGCGGAAACATGAAAAGTGAAAAATATTAGCATTGAAATCAATGGCAAAATTTTTTACTTTTAACTTTTCCGCCCTAGGGGAAAAATTACATGATCGATACCCAGGACAAAGAAATCTCTGTTCTTTTTGTCCCGATTGGTCAATTAAACGGTGGGGATTTTAGCCAGGGACACATTTTTACAACGTTTCTGTCATCAATAAAACGAACGGAAGTGCAATATAAAGGCTGTGGACTTCCGGCCGCCCATTTCTACTTCCGTCAGCGAGGTGGACGTGCTGAGTGCTGAGTGCCAGCTACGTCCACGTCGTTTCACGTCATTCTTGTCGCCGTCTATTTGTTCAACTCCGCCGAAGAAACTCGGCGAAAGAGT